TATATATATATATATATATATATATATATATATATATATATATTCAGGAGATCTGAACACATAATACTGAAATAAATAAATATACCAATAAGTTACAGATTTAAATGATTCTATATAAACTCCATCTGAATTTTCTTTAACAATATAAAATAATTGTTTTATTGTTTATGAATATCTCAAGGGCTTATAGATAATGCAGTTGGTCCTGTCTCCAGATCATAGAAGAAAGTTTTTCCAGTTTGAGTTGATTCTAGTTATGGTTCAATAAATTTCTCTTATATTCAACAACAAGAAGGAAATTTTCCTGCAAAAGAGAAAACCATGTCACACAGAGTTCTCAGAAAGCCAATGGTTGGCTGATCACAATGGCTATAGTGACCTGACGATAGTCAGGTCAAGGATTAAACTCCAGTTTCCTGCAGCAGACAGGGTGCTTCCGTATCACTCATACATCACTTATGCAGGTCATATGAACACCTGGGCACTGTCCTGCACACAGGCAGAGGTGTGGACCAGATGGTATCTCAGCCTCATCATCCTCAAAGTTTGAAGTTGAATGGAGCAGACCTGCCATTGAATCCAGGAGTCAATTCCTGACCTCTCCCTGTTACTAAGCCCTTTGGAGTAACCTAACCAGGAGAACAGATGTCACAGTTGGGGAGACAGTGGCAGGTCTTTATGTGATGTCACCAAAATGTCTCACTCTGGCAGTCTCAGAGTATGGGTTCCTTTGGGTGCTTTGAGTCACAAGGAGTAGCTATTAATGTGATGAAATATTACTGATAATGTCAGAAGATTTAAAAGTTTTAAAATAACCAAAGTATGCATCATTCTGTGTTGGATTAATGAAGCCAAAATACAAAGCCCAGGATGGTTTTTATTTATAGTAGTCTTATGCACATAACATGGCACATGGCAAAACAAAAATCAGGACTGACGTGAACATACTTGTTGGGAAGAGTGCACAGCACATGTTGCAGGTGAACATATTTATTACCAAGTATAGAAATTAAAATAGTTCAGCTAAGATCATTGTTAGGGAGGATGGAAAATACCAATGTACAGGCAGAGTAAAAAGCCAAATCTCCACTTAAAATGTATAGAGTCCTTAATAGACCTTGAGCATATATTAGTATAGAGAGTGATTTATTTTTGATAGGCTATTAGAACAGAATTGAAAATATTCCAACAATTTGGTGTCAGTATTTTGTCAGAGGAGTCTTGGCATCCATAGATAATAGTGTCTCTTAGAAAACACAGACATGAAGAGATGCATAGATAATTAGATTGAAAAATAGACAATAGGCCAATAGATAATTGACAGGTGACAGATAGATGGAGTCATGAAGAACTACAGACTTTTATCTCTATAAATCCTTTAAGAAGATAGATATAACCTCTCATATTTCCTTGACACTCACCATGCTCATATGGCTTGAACATTATCCCCAAAATCTTAGCCAGTCCTTTATTCCCAAAGGCCTTTTTCTTGCTTCATTCTGACTTTGGTTTATAATCTCCCTGTGTTTGTTCAGTTTTTAGAGAACATCACAGTGTGACTGTTTTCTGCAATCATTTTGCCCTAGATTATATCTTAACTATTTTCACTGAAATCCTGAAATTGGGGATATTCAAACCCACCCCCATATACAACTTGTACAAGAGTAGAGAACGATGGGAATCAGGGGGATGAAGAGAAGAGAGGACTCTAAAACAACAGTTCAAACACATGGTAAGAATTAGTAAGATCCCTGTCAGGGAGGGAAGTGTCCCTTCTTGTCCATTTTTCCTCACATGGAAGAATGGGAATACAGTATCTCACAGAAATTTTTATCTTGTTTTCTTCTCATCTGTAGATATCATCCCCTCCATTCCATATGAACCCCTATACCTTAAACCATACACCAATACAGAGAGCAAAGATGTGTATTTTGTTTATTTTAATGACTGTTTTTTACTTCATATCTTACTACTGAAACATCTCAACCCTACCATAAAACAGTCATTTGAAAACAAGCACATGAGGAATAGAGAGATGTCCAGTGGTTAAGAACACACTGCTTCTACTGAGGACCAGAGTTTGAATTCCAACATCCTGATAGGTTTTAACGCCAGCCCCAGTAGATCTGGCAACCTATTCAAGCCTCCACTGACACCTGCATGCATCTGCACATCTTCACACAGATACACACAATACATAGAACTACAAATTACATCTATAAAAACAAACAGATATGCTCCTTTCTGCAGGATGCTTGCTAACCCTGGAGCAATAGAGGCAACATTACCTTTGCCCATGAGCAAGATGATACAAAATTCATGAAGCACTCCACCTAAAAAGTGTAAAACCAGCTGACAAATAAGTAACCCCATTTTCTCCAGAAGGAAATACTGCTTTTTAATTTTTAGTAGCATATATTAATTTTACAGAATGGGCATTCTCATAGCATTTTCCAACATAGAACTTTTTAGGACATATCCACTCATCTACAATTATTATTTTAATTGTGTATGTGTGTGTGTGTGTGTGTGTGTGTGTGTGTGTGTGTGTGTGTGTGTGTACATCTCTGGTATAAATTGAGTGTACATGTATCTGGTGGGTACACTTCCTATGCAGTGTGAGGAGACCAGAAGTTGCATCAGGGATATCTTTCCTTGGTCACTTCTCTAACTTTTCATTTGAGACATGATTTCTCACAGAACCTGAAGCTTCCCATTTCAGGCAAACTAGCTTGAAATTTGTTAAGAATCTGTCATACACCCACAGATATACACTGAACTGAACTCTGGAACCCAGCTGCAGAGAGGGAGGAATGAAGATCAGAGGGGTCGGGACCAGGCTGGTGAAACCCACAGAAACAGCTGCCCTGAACAAGGAGGAGCACATGGACCCCAGACTGCTGTCTGGGAGGCCAGCACAGGACTGATCCAGACCCCTGAACATGGATGTCAATGAGGAGGCCTCTGCACTCTCTGGGGCCCCTGGTAGTGGATCAGTATTTTTCCCTAGTGTAAGAAGGGACTTTGAGAGCCCATCCCATGTGAAGGGATGCACTCTTGGGCTGCACACATGGGGGAGGGCCTAGACCCAGCCCAGGATGATGTGGTGGACTTTGGGGAGCCACGGTCGAGGGCCTTACCCTGCCTGGGGAGTGGAGGGGAGATGGAGTGGGGGGCTGGTGGGGAATTTCGGGGAGGGTTGAGAGGAGGGGAGGGAGATGGATAAGGGATTGACATGTGAAGCAAGCTTGTTCCTAAGTTGAACTAATAAAAATATTAAAATAAAAAAGAAAATAAGACCCCTCACAAAAAAGAATCTGTCATAATTCATTTTCTCCAGTAGGCTTGATTATTATTTTCTAATACTTTATTAACTTTAATAACATTCAACTAATTATCATTAATATTTTAATAGTAAAATTAAAAAGGGAAAAAGGAAGACCAAAAAGATTTCAAAACATAACATTAGCTAGCCCCCTCCTAGCTGAAGTCCATCATTCTGGATTTTGTTCTTGTAGATATCTAACTATGTGATACAGATTGGAAGAGTATAGATAGATCCAAGCTTTGCTACTATAGTCTCATGCTATAGGCAGTAAATGAGATAGACAGAGAAATGAGCAGTTCCGAAGGTTGATACTCCTCAAGTATGTGAAACTAAGGATCGAGGAATCTGTCTCCTCCTTACCTCATGCCTATACCATAGTTCAGGCTTGAGCACTCCTGAACCCATGGAGGAGAGCTGGTGAGGAATATCTTGTCATCACCAGTCACATGGCCATGTGGGTGGCATGAGGCAGGGCCATTTATGCCAAGGCACTGTCTCACAAGATGAGGCAAAGCCCAGGATCAGAATAAAAGGTCTTAGGGACAGAGAACCTCCATCCAGTCCTCCTGAGGTTCCCAGGGAACTTGTGCTGCCTGTCATCTTGGTAAGTCTTCATTGGGAGGCAAGAGCATGGCTTGTACCAGAGGAAAGCTGAGAGAAGAGCTGTAGAATAAGCTAGGCAGGACCACAGAGCCTGGAGGCCATTTTTACAGAGGACTTAGGGTAGGCCATAATGATGGGTAGTATAAAAGGGTACTTTCATATGCATGAGGGACATGAACAGTAAGGATGCATATAACAAAGGGCTCCACAGGGTCACAGCTTCTTTTTAGAGTGAGTCTGTCTTAACAGGACTGTGAAACACAGGTTATGCACCTTAAACAACTTCCAAAGTGTTGCTCTGAAGCACAGCTTTGGGCTAGCATTCAAGGATGTGATGGAGGTAGAGTAGGTTGTCAGGTGCTCCTTTTAACTTGGAAAATCCACAGAGTTAAAGGTATAGGATTATTCACATACTTTCAAGAAAGACTAAAATACACCAGCCCCACCCTGGTGGTACCATCCTATTGGCCTGAGCAGGTGGTAAATTGAGCATATACAAAAGCTTGTCAGAGAACAGGACAGGGATTTCTGGCCCTAGTCTTCACGAAATGATGGGGTTTTCAGACTTCTCATTGAGGGAATCAGTTTACTGATCCAATACTAACGGGTTCTTTGCAGTAGTGACTTGTATAATAAAAATCATCTTTCAAGTTATGAGAGAGAGTGTTTTGTTTTAGGATACATTTTTCCTAGAAGTAATTTCAGCTTGAAGACATATTTGGAATGGTTCCCACTGCCACATTTAAGTTTGTGACTAAAAGCCTTTTGTCATTCTCTGCTGGACAGCAGACGCCAGTTCGTACCTGACTGGCTTGGGTTTCTGGTGTTCCCAAGACATGATGAGGAGGATGTGACAGGATGAGTGGTTTAGAACTGAAATTACTAGAGATGGTGTTTCGATGATTACCATGGATGCTAAGGAGGCAGGGTAGGCAGAGTGTGACTGAAACAACCAAGTACTGACTTTTCTTTGATTATTCCATAGTTTCCCAGCACTCATCAGTCAAGATGTCCTGCCAGCAGAACCAGCAGCAGTGCCAGCCCCCTCCCAAGTGCCCTCCCAAGTGCCCTCCCAAGTGCCAGACCACAAAGTGCCCTCCAAAATGCCCCCCAAAGTGTCCTCCTAAGTGCCCCCCTGTGTCATCCTGCTGCAGCCTGGGGTCTGGTGGCTGCTGTGGCTCCAGCTCTGGTGGCTGCTGTGGTTCTAGCTCAGGAGGCTGCTGCAGCTCTGGGAGTGGTGGCTGCTGCCTGAGCCACCACAGGCCTCGCAGATCTCTTCGTCGCCATCGTCACAGCTCAGGGTGCTGTAGCAGCGTGGGCAGCAGTGGCTGCTGTGGCAGCAGTGGTGGCAGCAGCTGTGGCAGTAGCCAACAGTCTGGTGGCTGTTGCTAACCTGGGTGAGGAAGACGTCAGACAACTGTTGCAGGAGGAAGCCATGCTCAGCAGACTGGCCCATGCATCTGCCCTCTCTGCCCTGGCTCTCCTCCTTGCCCTGCCCACTCAGATGTTGACATCTCCTGTGAAAGATTCTTCATTCCGCTCACCAGATGACAGTGTCCCTTTGCCTGTTTGTCACAAATAAAAAGCCTTGCCAACCAATCCTGACAAGACTCTTGTTCATTTTCTCAGCATCATCCTTACCCCATCCCTTAGTCATCTTTTCCTGCAGACAGACAGTGACACTCTGAGCTATTGTCCCCTTTTAGACATATATGCGCTTCCTGTGACTTTGTATCAACTCTTCTACTGTATGTGTAGGAAGAACGATGACATTTTAAATAGATACCTGATGTGAGGGCTTAGAAATGGCTGTCACTCCTCACAATTATAAAACAGGGGTGGGGTGCAAACCCATTGTCAATGAGTTGAAAGTGAATGTTCACTCTTAGACATTCATTAGAAGGAAAAAGATCTATACTCAGATTACATAAGGACAATCAGCCAGCCCTTTCTATTCACATTAATGTTTTTAGCTCTTTTGTAAACAAAGTTTGACCTAGACCTGCAGAAATTTACATTGTTCCTATCACTTTCTTTTTCTGCTGTAGGCGAGTTGTTATAATGTGGGAACGTCTGTGCAGCTGACCAATGGCAATGTCTCATTCCTTCCCTTCTGTTGGTGGCTGCTGCAATCTTGACATTGATGAGATCAGTATTCATGAGTGGTTTATTTGGCATTCCCTGTGTGTGACTGATCCATATTTCTGTTTAGTTTTTTTAAATCAAGTCACTGCAGTAGAACTAAACAACAGTTTCATTGAACTGTGTTTTCCCTGATATTAACCCACACACCTACGAACACCTGATTTTTGACAAAGATGCTAAATCTATACAATGGAAAAAAGATAGCATCTTCAACAAATGGTGCTGGCGCAACTGGATTCTGAAATGCAGAAGATTGCACATAGATCCGTATCTGTCACCATGCATAAAACTTAAGTCCAAATGGATCAAAGATCTCAACATAAATCCAGCCACACTGAATCTTCTAGAAGAGAAAATGGGAGACACCCTTGAACGAATTGAAATTTATATCAATAGTGTGATGTAATCAGTAATAAGGGTCACTACATAGAGTAGAGATAGTAAAGTGTCTGTCATCCATTACTGTGCACACATGAGGGCAATCCAACAGTCATGTTCAGTTTAGGCTACTTTCCTTTTATGGCTACCTCTGGGTTTTCTCTGGTATCTCTAATTATCTTCTATGTTTTAAAAGTAACTTCACTGGTATTCTACCACTACACATGAAGTGAGAACAGGTCAAAACCAGATGCTCTTCACTATCGTGAAAAGTTAGATAAGCCAAGTGCCCATTACACAATCAAGAAAGGACTTAATTAAAAGAATGAAGACAAAAATACTCCTAGAAGAACACATTTTGGCAAAACTTTGAAATATTGGACTTTTCAGCAACTTCTGTGAAATTATACTATGGTAACAAAAATGAAAGTAGATTTCATGAACTACATTAACGCTAAAATCTTCTATGCACCACTGAACATAACACACACAGAAAAATTACAGCCTTTGGTATAAGCATGTGTCAATCATATCTCACAAGGAAATTATCCAGCGTGTGTAATGAATTGCTTCAATTCATTAACATATAAGCAAACAACCTGATTTAAAACTTAAAAGAGACTCACATATATATTTATCCCAAAAAGACACAGGTAAAGTTGCTCAGTATGAATATTAGGCAAATAAAATCCACAATGAGATAGATATAATCTCTAAGCCAAGAGTGTGGTCATGATGAACACAATATAGCATGACAGCTCATTAGGACTATGTAGAGAAATTGATATCTCTTTGCACTACTTGGATGCAAATGACTATGAAAAATACCTTTCCCTAAAACATTTGACAGAATTAACTATGAACCAACAAGTTCATACCTCTACTCTATTAAGTGTCTGTATGTCTATCTACATGTGTATTTGTGGATGGATCTCTGTGTACATGTATAGAACATATGCACTGAGAATAGAAACTTGGAGAGCTCTTTCTATACCAAGTTCACAGAAGCACTATGTATAATATCTGAAAGATGAAGGCCATTTAAAAATGCATTGATTAATGATTTTCTTTAAAAATATTGTGCTAGCATGCCAAAGAATATGATATAACCTTCAGAATGCCAGGTATAATAGGTCCTACAATCACAGTCAGGAGGATCACAAATGGAGGATGTCATTCTTTATATATGTTTCTCTTATTGGTTGATGAATAAAACACTGTTTGGCCAATATCCAGGCATGAAGGCTACAAGAGGAAGGAATGAGGAGAGAGGGGAAGGCCACAGACTGACGCCATGTAGCCACCAAAGGAGTAACAGGTCCAGGTATTCTCTGGTAAGCCAAGACCAAGTGAAAATACATAGATTAATAGTTATGGGTTAATAATTAAGAGAGAGCTAGTCAGTAAGAAACTCTATCCATCAGCCAACAGTTTATAAATTAATATTGTGTCTGTATGCTTTTTTGGGGATGAAGGGCAGCAGGACCTGGTGGGACAGAAACTTTCATCAACAGATCACAAGTTCAAGGACACTCTGGCTGTATAGCTCTTTCTTGACCAGCCTTGTCTGCATGAATGAAGCCTTTTCTCAAAAGAAATTACTTATAGAAATATATGTACATGCTTCAATATGGATAAAATATAAAGGGAGGCTACAAATTAAAATAGGTATTTGAAAAAGACAAACACTGTACCATTCTTCTCCTGTTGGAAACTGCAATTAGTCAGATTCATGAGGGTAGAAAAGGGAATGCTGATTTACAGAGGCCAGGGAGAGGGTCCATAGTGACATACTGATGAATGAGTGTATTGCTTCAATTTTGCAAGATGATGAAACACTTAGGTGTAACAATGCATTGTATATAGGTATGAAACTAAAAAAAAATTAATAAAGAAAAATACTTTAAATGAAGCTTCTCATCTCAAAAGGATTGTTTTATTGAGTTTCAGAATTAAAACTGCACAAGTTATCAAAGTTTATGTGACATTTTACCAATTAGTCTAGAAACATGGTAGCTGTACCAACTAAGAAGTGATAAGATTTTAGCATGCTTTCATCACACATACCAACAAAATATTAAAATTTTTGCACTGACTCAGCAATATAACTTTAAATGCTTTGAAGACAATCATTAATCAATGCACTTTTGAATGGCTTTCATCTTTCAGCTATTGTTTTTAAATTTTTATTTAAATTAAAAACAATCATATTTTACATACCAATCCCAGTTCCCCCTCCTTCCCCTACTCACATTCTCCTCACCATACCCCTATCCCACCCCCATCCTCTCCTCAGGAAGGGTGAGGCTTTCCATGGGGGATAATTAAAGTCTGCCACATCATTTGGAGCTACCTAGACCCCCCCACACACACACACACACACAACTCTATGCAGTATTTCTCCATAGGGAATGGACTCCCAAAGACCATTTGTACACTTGGGATAAATACTGTTTCCACTGTTAGAGACCCCATAGACTTCCCAGGCCCCCCAACTGACATCAACATTTGGGGGACTGGTTTGGTCTTATGCTGGTTCCCCAGCTGTCAGACTGGAGTCCATGAGCTCCCACTTGCTCAGGTCAGCTGTTTCTGTGGGTTTCCCCAGCATGGTCTTGACCCCTTTGCTCATCACTCCTCCCTCTCTAAAACTGGATTCCAGGAGTTTGGCTCAGTGCTTAGCTGTTGATCTTGGCTTTTGCTTCCATCAACTACTGGATGAAGGCTCTAGGATGGCATTTAAGGTAGTCATCCATCTCATTATAGAGGAAGGGCATTTAAAGTAGCCTTTCCACTATTGCTTAGATTCTTAGTCGGGGTCATTCTTGTGGATCCCTGGAGATATTCCTAGTGCCAGGTTCCTCATTAAGCACATAACAGCTCCCTCTATTAAGGTCAACTATTGTAAATAGTGCTGCTGTGAACATGGTATAGAAAGAGCTCTTCAAGCCTTTGTCTTCAATGCAAATGTTCTATACATGTACACAGAGATCCATACACAAATACACATGTAGATGGACAGGCAGACAGACAATAGAGTGGAGGTGTGAACTTGTTGGTTCATATTTAATTCTGTTAAGTTTTTGAGGGAAAGGTATTTTTTCATAGTCATTTGCATTCCAAACTGCACAGAGATACCAATTCCTCCACATAGTCCTAATGAGCTGTTTTGATTGTTTATTGATGAAAAGAGGGAAACAAAAGAAAACTTATTTATTGGTGGTGGCTCTGAAACACATAGAAAAACCATTTTTTCAGATTACATCATTTCTGGTTAGAGCTCACCAACATTCCTTATACTCCATGGAATGGAAAAATAGAGACACCTTGACAAATGAAACCCTGGTAAATCAGTGGTTTCCTACCCAGGTAGTTATATTAACCTGATACCTGAGCTACACAGTCCATACTCAAGCCTTAAATTCCAATCTTCCTGAAGCAGGAGTGCCTGTCATACATCCCATAATCACACAGGCCAGCTGAGGACTTGGGTATGTCCATGCAGAGAGCCAGAGGTGTAGACCAGTTGGCATCTGAGCCTTGTCATCCTAGGAGGTGGGATCTGCTTTTGCAGACCTAACATTGTAGAAATCAGGAAGCAATCCCTATCCTCTCTCTGTTACTAAACCTTTGGAGCAACCTGACCAGGACAACAGATGTCAGAGCTGGTGAGACAGTGGCAGATCTTCAGGTGATGTGATGTCACATTTCTTACTCTGCCAGTCTCAGAATGTACATTGCTATGCAGTGACCTTATGCTATGCATAAGGAGTTGTCATTTATAATTTGAAGCATCACTGATAAGGTTTGTGGCATGGTTCTAAAGCCTTAAAGTAGCCAATGTGTATATCATTGTTTTCTTTTTTTTA